TTACCCCCAACCTCCCTGCCGAGGAAAGCAGCCCCTGGAGAGATGCTGGGGGAAGGCTTCCCCTCCCCTTCCTCGCTGGGTGGGAGAGAGCTCTCAGCAGGCTGCCCCATGCAGAATGTCACACGCTGGGGACAAGGGCTCGTCCCTGGGGGCTGGAGGGAAGAGTCACCCGCTGCCCTTTGCGGCTGTTGAGGACGCTGCGCTCCGAATCAACAGGATTCTTAAACTGCGCTTTTTAAACTTGCATTAACAAGTGCAAGGGGCCCAAGTCCTCGTTCTGACGGGGGACAGCAGGCTTTTGTAATGAGGTTGCTTATGGCCTTTGTCACTTCAGCCAGGCTGTGAAGCACGACCTGTGAGGCTCAGCAGAGCTGCTGGGCATGGGGACAGGCTTTCTGCAGCGCCCTGTTCCACCGGTGCACTGGTTTGCACAGGATGACATGGAGTTGCCCTGTGCCTCTTCAGACGTGCTGGTGCCAGATCACTGGAAAAACATTGGAAAAGGCTTAGCCTGCTAGGATCCTGTGGAGACAGCAAGCTTTCTGTGTGCTTTGCAAAGCCTGGGTATACAAAGCCAGACCAACACCGCTTTCTAATCCTGCTTTGCAACGATCAGCGATTTGACTGAAACCGGTGCCCAGCACAGCAACTTTGGTTCCTAGTGCCTCGCTGTCAGCAAGTCACACAACGGAGCAATGGGAGTTTGATCTTCCGCTCCCCAGCAGAGAGGAGTCCTGTTGTCTGTTGCTGTGTAGGTTGTTGTTTCGCATACACAGCAGCAGCCATTCATGGTGGAATGCTGTGTGCAAGCACAGCACTGCGGAAGGAGTGGCCTCAAAGTACAATAGAAGACCTTGGGGCCGGGTGTGTGTTGTCAGCTACTCTGGCTAGTTATTCCCGGCAGCCACTGAGCAAGGTTCACATCGGTCCTTGTACTAGTGCACCCTGAAGTCATACCTGTCATGTGCCATTGGCCTTTACTGAGTGCCCCTCTGAGCCGAGCCCAGAGCCTAGCCTCTATCCAAGGCAGCCTGGAGTAAAAACGTGCTGTGGGAATCTGTATTTGGCTTATAAATGCTTAAAAAGATGGAAATTTAGACCTGCCATTTAGAATGTTGATGCAAATTCATCAAAGGTGTGACCTTTAGGGAGGACCAGTGAAACCACAGTAAGTGCCCTGGCCTCTGCAGGCTTTCAGGGGTGAGCAGGTACTGCATGATCCGCAAGGAGCTTAGGGGTTAATCACACTGAGATTAATACCTTACAGTACAAATCTAGGTTCTTGTTTGCTAGCTTCCATATTTTAAAACATCATGAGGATAAAAGCCAACGTCACCCTGAGAACTGGAAGGTTACGTGGTGTGTCCACAGGCAGAGGATGCTGCTGCCTTGGCAGAGAGGGCTGGCATCCGTTCCTCCGAGCAGGAACCCCTTTGTGCCTCAGCTCTCTTCAGGAAAAAAAAGAAAGGATTATTCGAATCTTAATAGAGGTTGTGGTTTGAAGCTGGGAGACTGGGGATTCAAACTAATCATAACTGGCTTTAAAAGCTATAAATACCTTGTAACTCTGCTCTATTTCTGGGAAGCTTTCAAAAACAGGCACTGAGTTCAGTTAGAGCTTAAAAAAAGAAGTATTTTGGAAAAGACTTTGCTCGTAGGGCAGCACTGAGTATTTGTATTGTACCTAGAAGCTGGAACAAGCACGCGCCACGACATTTTCCCAACTGCTCTTGGTCCGTTCCCTCTTTCTTAGTCGTTCTACTTTTTTGTAAGTTCTGGTCTTTTTTCCCCGATGTGTTCATGCAGTTTCTGTTTATCAGCCATGGCTTGCCTTGCGGGTTTTCCGTGACCTCAGTCTCCTCCCTCTCTCTCCCCGCTTCCAAATCTTGCCTATCAATCCCCGTAGCTGCCGGTTTGCTGCGGGGCCCGGACTGGCTGGTGCAGTCGCTCCAGTTCTCCCGCCCTGGTGCTGCAGGGTGCCCAGGCTGGCCTGGCAGCACCTCGGCTGGCAGCGTGTGCCGGCCCCGGAGCGCCGCGTCACGCCGCTCCACCGGGGCTGAGTCATCGAGGAAGGAAGATTCTGGCGGCGCCTTGGCCCTCGTCCTGTTTCTTCGGCACTGGGAGCGGGCGCTGAAATAGCCTGTTGCTTATCTCATCGGTTGGAAGGTGGCGGTTGTTTACTGATACGGGCAGATCATGAGCTCACACATTTGGAGTGTGGCCAGTCTGCGGGTTTGATTTTCTTCCCAAGCCCAGCATCCTTGGAAAGGGCATTTGGGTCTCTCAGGCTCCTGTCAGCAGAAATCCGTCAGCCAAAATGCTGGACGCTGGCACTCGCATTTACCTGATGTGTCCTGTAGTCTGATTGTTGGACTTGAGTCAGTACTCGTGATTGATTTTAAAATAGATCAAACATGCTAAACCTTTGAGGTCTAGAAGGGTTGAAGAGGCCTTTCTGGAGCACGTCTGTGCAGCGAAGGCAGCGTCTTGGGTCAGGCAGACCCTCACCCAGCCCTGAAAGCACCGAAACCTCCCTGCGAAGCTGGCATCTTCCGCCAGGAGAGGTTTGGAGCTGGAAGCGCCACACGATGCGGGCACCGAGGGCGGCTCGTGCTTCCTCGGGAGTGAGCTCTGTCCCCCGTGTATCCTCTATACTTGGAGTATATTGCACATAAATACTGCTGTTAGCTATTACTCTGCTATTGAAAGCAGTGTGTTCAGTAGCATAAAAATAAAGATCAGGTGAGCTTTTGTATGGCATAACAAAAAAAAGGTCCATCTGGAGAGGTGCTTGAAGAGAGCAATTGGGCTCCGTTCACAGTGTGCGTGAAGATCTTTTAGCATCGGCTTGGTCAGAGCTGCTTCCCTTGCCAGAGCGCTTACCGGGTGCAGACAAAATGGCTTTTCATCATGTCGCTCCCTTAGGCATGCTGTATTAGCCAGGTATTTTGAAGCTATTACTTTAAAATGCCTTAAAGCTCTTAAAAAAATGAGATGGTCATAATTGTGTTTCTGAGCCTTTTTCAAGCCAGTTCCCTGGTTCCCGAACAGCAAGCCTCAGAAAACTCAGGGAGATCTGACTGGGCTTTTTGAAGGAAGAGTCCCCGTGTCCCGTGCTGCAGCCGAGCACCCCAGCGGCACGCGAACACCTCTGATGACGCGATACTCGTGGCAGTTGGCACAACTCTGTCATACGGAAACGTTTCTGTGCTAGAGCTTGTTAATCTAGAGGCGAGTAATTTTAAGGGGAAGTTTCACATTTTAGCTAGTGAAAAAATAATTCTTGGACTCTAATGAGGCACTTTCCATACCTGGAAACAAAACGAGATTTGATCATTCAAGGCACTGCTGCATTCTCAGAGAAGTTTAGAGTCCGTTGTGTAGACGCTGGCACTCGTACGTTCGAGAGGGAGGCGTGGGCATCATCTCAACCCTCTTGACAGGTCTCCTATCCTTTTATTTTTGTAATACCTCTGAGGTAACTATGAACCGTCCTTCAGTAGGAAAACCCTGGCTTTGGGCCCTGTAAGTCACATGAACCCTCAGCTTCTCAAATTGGAACAGCAGTAGAAAACAGCAGGAAAAAAAACATTTTCTGAATTGTAGATAATGAGACGAGGAGTGGAAAGGAGGTGAGTGGAGGAAGTGTCATTTCAGAAATAAGTCTGGGTAGGGATCTTTGTTTGGTTTGGTTTTTTAAAGAACAGTTGCCTGACGTGCCAGCTTCTGAAAGCGCAGATGATTCTTGGGTGCAAACTGCCAGAAGCTGCGGGGTCGAGCAGGGAAATGGATTTGCAGCATTTCCTTATATTTCCTGTAGATTGAGGTAGTTTTGAAGTTATTAAAATGCAATTGTTTCTTGTTAGGGAATAGGATTTAAGCTGCCTGTCAACAGCTGGTTTATGAAGGGCGTTTATGCGGGAGGAGGTTAAAAGACATAATCATGGTATTCTCAGAAATGCTGAAGTCCCCTTCTGTGTAATAAAGCCACTGGAGAATTTTGTAATATATGAACAAACTGAATATATCTCAAGTAATTTGCGTTGCCTTTGGGATTTATGAGTGGTTTTAGTTGTGATTTCTTGGTTGTTGGCAAGTTGGGTGGGAACAAATGGCAGTATTAATTATCTGGGCTGGTGCTTCATTAGCTGCGCTTCCCGTGGCTGTTCCCTTGTTTGCAGCTTGTGGTTCTTGGGAAAGCAGTTCTCCTGTGTCCCTGCTGTGGCACCTTTCCGGGCTGAGCCCTGCCAGCGGGGGGCAATCCTGGCCCTGCTCTTGGTTGACCACGCGTGTTTCGTTGTTGGACGGTGTCACGCTATGGCTGATGGCGCCTTCGGTTAAAGCCATACTGCGCTGGGAATGTAAATGACAATTCCCTTCAGACTACATAAATATTGTTTGTTCATTTTGTGCACATGTGTGTGGATAAATTAAATTCAGATGGAGTTGGGGAGAACTGGAATTAAAAACAGGAATGATCTCTACGTTGGACTCCTTAGAAATGTCTCAGTCATGAGTGTCGAGGGCCAGGTGACGAGAGCAGCACAGTCAGCTTTTTCCACGCTGTTAGGACGAGAAGGCAGTCGGTGGAAATAGAGTGGAAGAACCCTGGTGGCCACAGTAGCTGTACCCATGCCTTAGGCACCATCAGAGCTGTTGCTCCTCATGAACCGAGGATGAGAAGCTCGCAGGAAGCGTGGTGGAAGAAGGCGGGATGGATGGTGCCCGACTGGCCACTCCCGACCCTTCAGCTGCAGCTCTCCGTGTACGTTTGCCTTTTGGAAGTAATACAAATACTTGCCTGGTTTTGAAAGGGTGTTGAAGCAGGAGCAGTTGTAAATGTGGGCTTGTGCTACGTACAAATGCAAAGTATCCCTAATGTATTTTGAAAGTGCTGAAATAACATTATGGAGCTATCGTTGAAGCTGATTTAAAACTCCCTCCATGAGAAACAAAGCTGTGTGTCTCTGAATTCTTTTACCTCAGGTTTTTGGGGCAGCCCTCCTTCTCAGGGCTGCTCCCGGTCCATTCACTGGTAGCAAACTGAAAAATAAGCCTGCAGGTTAATGACTTATGAGCCCTCCTTATAGGTAATATGATGGTCTTTGCTAGTTAAGCTGAATCATTCATGATAGAGAAATTAAAAATAAGTCAAAGATACCCATGTGACCTCAGATGTAACGATTGGACAGGACTGTCGTTCTTCGAGGCATCAGTCACGTTTAAAATTTTCTGTGTCATCTTCATGCCTGTTACTGTTCGGGCGCAGATGAAAATGGTTAAGAGCTTATGGTATTAAAGGGAACTATTCGGTTTACAGAAAAGTTTGGGGAATAACTTACTCTGTTCTAATTCCGTCCTCGATTTCTTGCACCGCTTGGCAGTTGTCATTTAACTGCTCTGTGTGTTCTTCCCCAGGATAGGAACAGGATTACATACCTTACCTGGCAGAAAGGGTTTCCTTAATTCCCAGTGAGAGCCCCTTACACGGAATGCGTGCTTCTGTGACGACTGGGGCAGCCGCGCCAGTTTTCAGTAACAAGTCTGCGGTGTTCATTGCTCGGTTGTTCCTGGTGTAATGATGCCGTCCTCTTCTCATTAAAGCTACTGTACCACATGTATCATTTCTAGATGTGAAAGACTCGAAGAGCAGCTAAATGACCTGACTGAGCTCCACCAGAATGAGATCCTCAATTTAAAACAGGAGCTGGCCAGCATGGAGGAGAAGATCGCCTATCAGTCTTACGAGCGAGCCCGGGACATCCAGGTGGGTGACAGAAACCAAGGACGCTCAAGCCCTGTCCTCCCCCTGTAACTCGTTCCCTTTGCGAATACTGCTGTGATTCAATACCTGGTGTTAATCCTTGTAGCTTTGTCCTGAAACTGCATAGAGGGCTTCTGGAAGGGCCTTTATTCCACCTTGGACATCTCTCCAAGTAACTTGTTTGGCAAAGGAGGGCTGTGCCCACGCGCCAGCAGGCGGGTTCGTCCGCGGGGGGAGCCGGCCGCTTGGGCTGGAGCAGAGTTTTTATATCACTTGTCGCGCAGTGGACGCCTGCATCCGCTTTGTGCGCGGGGTTTTGTGGGGCGTTGGAGACTGCGGGGCCGTGACCTGAACGCTTGGTCTGTAGCGGCGTTCACGGTAAACTGACCTGGGGCGTGTTTGTGTGTCACTAATTTTAGAGCAGTGATCACACATGGCTGAGGGAAAATGGCTCTGTGTGTCCACAGCTTTGAGTCAGGAAACAGCTCTTTCTGCTGGTTTTGCCCAAATAAGGAGTTACTTCTAACAGAGAAGTTTCTTTCAGTAGGTAAAAGAGCAAAGCTATGGAAACGGGGGTTATGGAGCTGGGGGGCCTGGGAAGTGATCTGAGCAGCCACTAAGCCTCGGAAGGAAAGGCCTATTCGGAAACAGGCCTGTCCTCCGTTTCAAATGCTCGTGCGAGTTGCAGCAGGCATCAGGGGTTTGATTGCTGACGTGAGGTATTTATCGCGTGAGCAGAGGGTGGTAGATCAAAGCTGTCCCTCCCCTGCCCCGGGAGCTGCAGCCGGGTGATGCCCCTGCAGGCAGAGCCGGCTT